AGTTTGTAAAGAAAAGCCGAGGTAGATAGTACTGTGAAATCGGTGCACTAAAGTCAAGCCTTAAGTGTTTTGTTTAGATGAGCTAAACATGATGACATTGGTTATGGATGCCCAAGTTTGTAATACTTTGGCAAGGCTAGAATGCCAGCCCATTAATGTAAAAGTAAGTTGTAACTTACATTCACATTAAGGGGCAGAAGGCGTAGATGAGTTAATGATTTGAAAGCGACACTTGGGTGAAATTTTCAAGTATTTGTGAAATTGTCAGGTACATTTTGTTATCCGAGGTAACAGTTGTATCTGGAATAATGTTGTCCAAGATAAAATGCATGTTTGATCCAAGATGTTATACTTAAAAAAAAATTCAGTATTAAAGACATAAAAGAAAAGAAGATATGTAGAAGTAAAAGTGACATCCAACACTTAGAAAAAAAGAAGTCCATTCAACTAGTAGAAAGTCATTCAGTTACATCGGACAAAAGGCACATCGGCCTTAAAGACAAAAGTTGTGCAACAAGAGGAAAGAAACTATAGGGAAAAAAAATCCTAAGTACTAGCTTCGGGGTTGGTAGCAGGGGTCTCAGAATGCTCCACTTTGGCAATTGGCGATGTGTCGGCCTTGGTGGATGGCAATGTGGCTTTGTCATCTTCGACTTCCTGATCAATTTCCTTCAAGATATCTTCGACAGACTTGTAGGCCACAGACTTGCCGGCCTCTTTGACTAAAGAAGTGCTCTTGGAAACTTCTTCATCATCCTCCCTAGTTAGGTCCAGCACCTGATCATTGAGGATGGGGGACTTGACACCAGAAATGACCTCCTTGGTGACCTCTTTTTCTTCTCCCTCCTTGGCGTCGTCGATCTCCTCAAATTGGGTAGGGAAATGAGAGAAAGGCATGTCAAGTTGGCTAAGATCTCGAAGAGAAGAGTCCTGGGGAATGACAGTTTCTTAGAGTGGTGTTCTATCTGAGGTAGTAGCCTCTGTTACAGGCTAAGTTCACCTGCTTCTTATATCGGTCATGGACGTCAGCTTGACCCTTAGCATAGGCCTTTTCATTGGGCGGCCGCCTTGATCTTTTGGTCTTTGGTGGCCAAAGCTTCGACCAACCTCTTTTCGGCCTTAACACCTTTGGCTTCAGCTACCTTGGTTGTTGTCTCGACCTGTTGCTCGGCATTTCTGGCCACCTTCACTTTATCAAGCATCTTCATCCTTGTTGTTTCAACTTGATTGAGCTAATGAAGGTAGTCTGCTGCATCTTGTGTTTTTTTGGTGAGGTCTTTCTTCATCAGCTCGGCTTTGTATACAAAGGCATGAGCATGTTGGATGTCCTGCAAGGAGAAGAAGATGAGTTAGTAAAACATAAAAATAAATCTATAGTGTAAAGTGCTAAATAAGAGACAAAGCAGGAAGCTTACCACAACTAAGTTCCTTATCATGAAGGCAAAGTGTTAATACTCGTTGAAATCACTAATGGCCTCCATGTTGGCGGGGAGAAGTAAAGCGATTAATAGTACAAAGGCAATCTCAGGCTGGTAAAAGGTGCCCTCACTAAGTTTGATCGGACGGCCGTCGATGAGATGTCGGGGATAAAAGTGTCTGACGTGTCGTCGAAGATGGAGGACTTTGTGCGCTTTGATGGAGGGGTGTTGGCCGAATTAGTGGCCTACCTCTTCTTAGCTTCTGCCATATTTGAGATTAGGATGACGTCTTCTGGGTCCTTCTCCTCAGAGGAATGAGCGACCGTCACTTTGGCTTTTTCCTTAACCTTTTTAACCCTGTTCTGTTTCTGAACAGATGGTGGAGATGGGGTTGATTGCACAGTTACAATGTCGGGGATACCGGCGAGGAGATCTTCGGCAATAGTTATTTTTCGGCCCATCTCTTCTGATGTGGCAGCGATTGTTACTTCGGTGCCAAGTTAGTATGCAGGAAGTGCAATTGCTGGGTTTGTAGGGTCATACATTGGCAGGTGAGCACTTCGGCGCCTTTTGTTGCGAGTTCTTCCTATTGGTGCGTGGGAAGGTCGGTGACAACGTTGGCGCTAGGACGACGGGATGTGCTGGGATGGAGCCGAAGTGGATGGCTGGTTGACTGGGTCAGAGGTGGAATCCTAATATAGACGAGGGGATGATGTTGCTGTTAGTGTTAGTGTTGTTGCAGATGGTCAAGTTTTGCTTCTGGACGATACGTTAGGTAGAGGAGATTTGTAGGTTGGAATATAGTTGAGCAAGATAGGAGCCTTCTAATCCTTGATAAGAAGTTCAAGAAATCAAACAAGATCTTTCCCCCTGATGTGGGACTTACAAAAAGACTTGCTTGGTTGGGATAGATCTGCAAAGACAAGAAATCACACATTAGAAATCGACAAAGTGTGAAAAGATTAATTTTGACAGTGTGTGATCTAGGGAACTAAGTGCTTAACCTCTTTATCCCCAAAAATGCCTCTGCGTAAAGGAAAGAGATACAGGTCATCGTCTAGAGCAAATTCCCAATAGCTCGAGACGATCAAATAGTCTTCCCCAACACCCTTGTTGGATTCTGGAAGGTTGGCTATCGTTTTGTAGGAAATGGTTATGGGTTTTATGTAATAGGAGATGCCATTGGTGGATTTGAGGCTACACATGGTGTAGCAGTACTGGACATCGGACAATGTGAGCCTACCATTATGTTGGCGACACAACTCGGCTATACCGATGATAATCCTAAAGCAGTTTATGGCTAGCTGCATAGGGTTGAGGCGGTAGTAGTGCATCATCTCTCGAAAAAAGATGTTAAAGGGGAACATGATTCCACCCTCAACAATTGATACCATGGGAAAGGGCATATAATTGTCCCCGAGCATGATAGAGTCATTCTCATCAGCGAGTCTGATATGGACGTCGACTGGGATTTCGAACTCTTGGCAAAAATTTTCTATTTTGGTTGAGGTATCTAACCTTCATTTGTGCATACCCATTGTGTCAAGGAGAGTGTTTTCTGTTTGCCTAATGTGGTTTTGGTTGCTGAGATAGCTGAGACCTAGGATTCGAGGGTGTGAATGAGGGTAAAGAGAGAGATAATTGGGAAAAGTAAAGAGAAAAAAAACACTCTATAGAGTTCCTCTTGCATTTATGTTTTTTTTCTCTAAAGAGGAGAGAGAAAACAGAAAACACTCTAAAGAGAGAGATAATCAAGGAGAGTGTTTTCTGTTTTCTGTTTGTGAATGAGGGTAAAGAGAGAGTGTCTAAAAGAGGAGAGAGAGATAATTGGGAAAAGTAATGAGACGAAGAGAGAAAGAGGAAGTTTTATGAAATGCAAAAAGGCGGCAACATAAATGATTTCAAATGCCTAGGAAGACGTACATTGGCTAACATTAGGCGGTGTGTGTCAGGGTTGAAACAATGCGTCTGTAGTGTGACAAGTACGATCCAATGAGGAGATAACACGTGGATGAAACGGTTGCGTTTGTTATGACTTGACAGCTTTCGAATCTTGAACCCATAGAGTTCTTCAACTAGCGAGTCATGATCTCAGCTAGTATCGTGATCTCAGTCAAGATGTTGATCTGGGATAGAGGTGAAATATCTAAATTGAGTCCTTGTTTCATTAAGTTGATGAGTCATGATCTTGGTTGGAGGAAGTCCTTTTAACATGTTGTTTAGCCGACATGTTGGGAGGTCGAACGATGTAGGTTCCATCACCTCAGATTGCCGAGGTAATAGAACCTAGGGGGCAAATTGTGGAGACATATTTTTAGGGTTGTCCACATAGCCGAGGTTGTTGGCTAAGGTGCCACGTGGATGAACTGAGGTGCCAAGATATGGTGCGACCATATCAGAATTCGAGATATTTAGATAGAGAATGAGAGTCCTACATGATTTGAGGCTCTCTGTTTGGATAAATATGAGGCTCTTTTGAGAGTTCATTCTTATTTGAATAGAGGAGTCCGAGATAGAGGTGATCCCTGTAAGAAATAGAGTCCTATGAGATGATACTTCTAAAGGATGAGGGCGTTGTTGATTATGGAAAGAGGGCACCTCCGTGGGTCTAAGGTAGGCTTATTATTGTGAGTTGCATACTTGAGTTGATATCTTGTGAGATTGTTGATTGACTTGATCGTCAGAATGCTCCCGGGTGGACGAGCCACCGTGGTGTTACTTGTTTTCTTGTGTGCCGATGTTGGTTTTAATCTATTCTTCTATGTGCTCTACAACTAAGTTCCTTGGATCTCGACAAAGTGATCTAATTTGGTTATGAGGTCAAAAATCAACACCCATACTTTGTAGCCAAAAAAAAAAAAACCCTCAGATCTATTGATAGTGTTGTTATTCCAAAGGTTGATAGTGGAGCTACTACACCACACAAAGCCCCCATTGTTGTGCCTCCCCAATCTCTTAGCAGCCACCATTAGAGAGGGGAGAGGCTTTTGTGTAGACCAAAAAGAGATCAAAAGAGAATGAGAGCCAAATTGTTCAACTTTAGCAGAGAGATGAAAGGGGAAAAAAAATGTTAAATTACACTTTTCTTTTATATATGGTCATTTTATCACTTTGGCCGTTTAAGGGTTTTGTTTTGTTTTGTTTTGTTTTTGTTTTTTTTTTTTTAAATTTTAACTTTGACCTTTCATGTTTTTTGTTTTTTCATAATTTACTCGAAAAGCTAACTTGTGTTCAAAATTAAACAGAAAACAATACATTTACAATTAAGTGACATAAAAATATTTATTATATATAATTTATACATTTTAAACAAACTTAAAGGTCAAATTGTAAAACAACAAATTTTAAAGGCCAAAGTAAAAAAGTGGCCGCATATAGAAAAGACAAATTATAATTTACCCATAAATATAATTATGTGTCGGTTTGTCTTATTGGGGTGGGATGATTGCAAACTTGAAATTTGATTTTGTTCTAATTGTCTTAGTCGGTTTGTCTTTTTTGTTTTTTTTAGGGCCAGTGACAGAGATGGCATTTATTTACAGCTCTGCGGAACAAATTTATAATTACAATTAGAACAAAATATTATTTAATAGAAATCAACATTTGTAATGAAGTTCAACTCAAACTTAAATACAATCAATACAAATCAAATCTAGTAACACAACTTATAGAACAAAATCAACTATCATGAACTCCAACTCAAATTTCCAATGTTTCGATTGTTCACTTCCCATTGGCCAATATGAAATCATCTGAAAATCAAAATAAATATTGAGAAATTAATTATTAGGTACAATCAAGTTTATCATAATGGACCATTAGTTAAAACTATGTCAATATAAATAGAATCTTATATAGGTTCGATTTTCGAGTTGGATTAACCAAAAACTAACCCCATCCAATCAAGTTGAAGATATGAAGATCTATAACGAAACTAATGTATCTAAAAAAAATCAAACCAGCTCAATCCAAAGAGGTCGGGTTGGTTCGATTCTTCAATTCTTTTTATATTGTGTGCAATCCTAAACCAATATAAAGGAAAACAAACAGCGAGATATAACTACAAATTTTATGAAAAGAATTAACGAGGCAGATGTGAAAGAAATGATAAGAGATTAAACTGTTCTTTTGTCTCTAGGAAAGGGTTTTCCAAAATTAAGAAATTTACCTAATGCTGATGGTAGTCACATGTCGCACTTTGTAAAAGTCTTCTCCTTCTTCACCATTGACCTTTAGAATCTTGTTATTAAATTTTGTACTCATATCTCCAGTTGTAAATTGTTGAAAGGTAGCAATGAATCTCAATCCATCTGGAACCATTTCCAATCTTTTGCAACAAGTAATGTACAAAGAAGAAAGATTGAGCATGGCTCCTTTTTCCACCTCCCACTCTTTTAAGTGGTGCAACCTATAAAGATATAGAGTTTTGAGTTGGGGGAAACCATTAGCAGAGCAAACCATTTTTTCCCCCACAAAGGCATTAGCATTTAAATCAAGGAGTTGTAGGTTAGGTAGCCTCTCCAATGTTGGCATTGGGTCTTTTTTAAGGTTACATCCAAACAACTTTAACTTGATAAGACTAGGAGATAAACTCCGGTACTCTGGTAATTCAGGAATAGATCCATTTATAGTCAAGTTGTAAAGATGGTGACACCCTAACAGTTGTTTAAGAAGAGTCAACTCTCCTTCTTCAGAAGAAAAATTAACTGATAAGGATGTTTGTCGGAGGTGGCTTGCACTGATGTTTAGGTAGTTGATGAATGCTGCAAAGTCCTGATTGTCAGTCTTCCAAAAAGTTGCCTCTTCTAGTTGCTGAAGATTGATCAATTTGCATAGATCGTTGACGTCACAGTTCCTTGTGTTGAACCCTTCTAATGTCTCAAGGTTGCTCAAGCCATCCAATTTGAATTTGTGTCTTAAAATCAAGTTATAACTAATATACAAATGCCTCAACCGTTCCATCTGATGTAAGACTATTACTTCACCTGAGTTGAAGTAGCAATTGAGTAAATCCAAGGTTTGCAAGTATTTTAACTTGCAGATAGACGAATGCCACTTCGGTATGGAACAACTTCTTAAACTCAAGTACCTCAAACTAACTAGGTTACCTATTGATTCAAGTGACTTTTCATCAAACTCTAATCTTTCAAGATCCAAAACCCTAAGCAATTTTAAGTACTTGAAATGGGAGTTCAACTCTATTGAATGCCTGCCATAGCTTATTGGATTGTAGAATAATATCGATCTCAACTGTTTAGTTGTCTCCAAGTCAGGGAGGACAACTTTTTCGACATCCATATTCAAATGAATTGCAAGTTTGCGTATTTTAGTAGTAGTTGTCGGTGTGGTCGAAAAGCAATAAGCTAGATCAGTTTCACATTGGAGATAAACGATCCCAATAAAATCATTTATTTTTGCCTTTGATAAACATAGCTCTAGCATGAGATCATGAATGCGGCAATATTTGATCCTTTGAGTAAACTTCTCTACCGGTACTTGAACCATGCACCTTTGTGCTAACGCACCCAAGTAGCGCTCTGCCACATCCATCATTGTTTCATCTTCCATTCTATCATCAGTTGCCAGTATGCCGTCAGCCATCCACAAGTGATATATTTTTTTGGCATCTATCACAGAATCCTCCAAAAAGTGGCTGAAATAAAGAAAACATGGCTTCAACTGGTAAGGCAAGTCATGGTAGCTTAAAGCTAACACCTTTGATACTCCATCATCATGTTGTATGTGGTCGTTGCTCCATTTATGCGACCGAACATTTTGGTATACCATCTCCCATTCCCTTAATGTATGCTTTGCTGCCAAAAGTCCACCAAGTACAATGATTGCTAAAGGTAAACCACCACACAACTTTACCATTCTCCGCCCTATTGCCTCCATGTTTGTGTCAAGTGCTCCAGAGTCTTAAAAAAACAACAAAAATGAAAATTTAAATATATAAAAAAAATTGATTATTGCTTAGAGTTTATAAAACAACAAAAATGAAAAGTTTAATGAATACATACTGCGAATAAGCAACAAAAACGAAAATTTACATTTAAGGCTAGTTCTGACTTTTTCGAGTTCCAAATTAATTTTTTAACATGGGCCATTTATATATATATATATATAATTCCAAAGTGAGTTTGTAATATGGACTAATTTTTAAACTTTTTTTTTTTGGAAAGTCAAGCCGGTTTGTAATTTAAATTTTATTAAAATTTTCTGAACTTTCATATTCTCTAGTATAAAACTCAAATTATTAGTTGTAAAATTACTAATCAAATTTACATAATTCAATTTATTAATCAAATTCATTGAATCATTGTTTTGACATAATTGACAAAAGATAAGATTTAATCCATTTCAGTTTTACAAAGTTTATTTCTTCATAAACAATTGCAATAAGTGTAGTCAATAACATTCTATACAAAATTTATATATTTGAAAAACAATCATTCATTAGTTTTAAATAATTCGCTACATCAATAAGTTTTTTTATTTCTTTTTAGGATTTTTTTGTATATTTTTTATTTTTTTTATGAGCAAACATAACAAGGGATAGTTTTTAAGAACCCTTTTTTTAAACCAATTTTTGAGAGTCAAAGCCGGGGCATTGTTTCCATTGATATTTGCATCTTTTCAATCAAAAGTACTATATCAACAAAGAAGAAAGAAAAATAATTTCTCAAATTCATGCTTGGATTTGGTGCATGGAGAAGGATATTAAGGGGGAAGATGTGAACTGTATATACCTCATACCTTCGTTTTGGATTCCATTCCCCGATATAGTATTATAGATTTGTATGTCATACATGAATTCCTTAATACTGTATTTAGTTGGTTGGGAGATTTGGAGAAGAATTTGAAAATGAATAGGAAAAAAGTCTGTAAAACTAGGTAAAATGTAAGTATATTTTATTAACATTTCACTTAACTTTTCCCTTTCTCTTTTCAAATCTCTACTCAAATCCCTCAATCAAACACAGCGTACGTCATTCAAATTTTAATGAATGATTAGTGAGTAGTCTTAGAGTACCGTATGCCATTATATACATGGTTTTTCAAATTAACTGTGTAGCAAAAAATTTTATAAATGAAATATGCCAACTCATCTTTGATTCACCCAGCTAAGCTAAACAGAAGTTTTGTATGATTTTTTAAGATTAAAGGATTTAACTGTACAGTTTTCTAGTCTAAGAAGACACTGAGGCCTCATTTGGGAACAAGTTAATTTAGTAATTTTTTGGCTATTTGGCTAAAATATGAGCTAAAAAAAACTAGTATGTTTGGGATGATTTTTTGACTTTTTACGAAAAGATATGCAAAAAGTAGAGAGAAAAGAGAATCTTTGACTTTTTGGTATAGGTTGTTGGCTTTTTGGCTAATTTTCTTTTTGACTTTTTGGCTAAAAGGGAGGGTTCCCAAACGAGGCCTGAGTACTACTTCAAGAGACGTTATTATAATTAACACTAAATTTTGGAAAATGAGTGAGACGCTGTTTTTGGGAATTTCCACCACCTTTAAAGTGATCTGAACCATTCATATGTGTTGATTTTTTTTTTTTCCTATCTCTCTCACATAAGTGGTCTAGATCACTTTGGAGATGGTAGGAGTTCTCAAAAATGAGAGTCTCAATCATTACTACTTAATTTTTTAACATCCAATTATGTTGGGGTTTTTAAGAATACTTACATAAAAGAAGTTGCTTTTTTTCCCAAGTGAAATGTTTGGACAACATTTTTTTTTTTTTGGAGGGAGGGGGGGATAAGTATAAGAAAATGGAAAGTGCTATTTTATCATTAATTTTTATAAAATATTTAATCAGAATAATATCGTAGTGGTATTTTTAAAATAAGGCCACTCCAAATGGAGAAAATTTTATGATACACATCTCTTTTTGGAGCTTGATTGTTTAGTCCAAAAGCCATGGGATTGGACTAATAATTTCATGGATTCCACAAAATTAATGTTTGGTTGGAACAAAACTCTTAAGACTAATAGTCTCTTTGGACTATTAACACCTTCCAAGGAGGGGACTAACAATCGCACGAGGGAGGTGGGTTTGGTATTCTAATCCCATGGGATTGGAAAATTGGTGAAAAGACAATTTTACCCTTCATTTAACAAAGATAACAAAGTTATATTTTGTATGTGTGATTTTTTTTTTTTGTGTGTGTGTATGGTTATTATGTCATTATATATATTAAAATATACCCAAAACACCAAAGGGTATTTATGGTATTTCATATAGTTAATCTCATCATTAAAATATATCACAAACAAACACAATTTTTCTTAGTCCTCTCGATAATAATCCCCAGACTAATAATCTCATACATCCTACGTTTGAAAACAAACGGGGCCTTAGAGTATGTACCATATGTCATAGTTATGATTTTTGTAGTATTTAGTTATGATTTATTGTATTGTTAGTTATGATTCATTGTGATATTAATTATGACTTATTATGATATTAATTATGACATTATTTTAGATATGATTCAAAAAGTCTTTAATTAAATCTTGTATGATATTTGCTTATGACTTTTTTTTTTTATTTTTTAAGTTGATTGAAAATGATCTAGTTGACATTTGTGATAATCAAAATCATAAATGTCATAACTTCCATATAATATGATCCATGTAATGGGTCTTTTAATTTAAAAGACCTAAATATGTCACATCATATCTGTATAAATTATTTGTTTTTGAAAAATGCTGGAGATAATTTATCATTCCTAAAAATCACTCCTAATGATGTGTCTGACAAGTGTCAAATTTTGATTTTGTTAAATATTCCATCATGTGAAGTCTAACTTCAATATCACATTATTAGAAATCATTCCATCATGTGAAGTCTAACTTCAATATCACATTATTAGAAATCATTTAGGAGTGATAAATTAAGAAATGTAACATTTTTTTTTTTTTTTGGGTAAGTAAGTCATAAAATAAAGACAGTGAAATTTACAAGTTTACAAGGGGCATACCCCAGGCATACCCAACAACAAATAAATAAACGAATACATAACCAACATAACCTATCACTGCACATTAATTTTGAGCCTAATTTAATTATTTGAATAATTCATTATGTAATATTTTGTGAAATAAATTAACCATGAAAAAAATCATATTAAATCATATATTTGTAGTCACATGATAAGATCACATTTATTTTAAAAAAAATAAATAACAAGCATGATTTTAATAATAGCCTATCTATTTTTTTCAAAAACAATTAGTGATCATACGTGATTTATTTGATTTATTTGGATAAGACATTCCCCATATTCCATCTATTGAAAGTTTTTAATTTTATGTAGTTCTCATAAATAAATATTCTAAATACGATGCTTGATTTCTATTTTCAGAATTCACTTTTAAGAAAATTCACATTTTCGTTTTCTGTATTTTTTTTTTTCATTGAATTTTCCCTTTTTTAATATTTTAAGCAATTTTTTTTAATTTTTTAGACACACCTATCATAAATACACTAAAAAAATATAATATTTGTGAAAAAAAACTTTAATAACTTCACTAAATACCAAAAATACAAAAAAAAAAAATTAAAATTCAGTATATTTTTTATACTTTTGTGTATTTATTAATTTTTTAAAAATATTTTTTTACAAATATTTTACTATTTATATATATCTAAGTAAAGTGTATCTAAAAAAGTAAAAAAAAAAATACTTAAAATTTTAAAAACATTCACTAAAAATATAAAAATATAAAAAATAAAAAACTCAATTTTTAAAAAATTAAATTTTTAAAAAATTAAATTTAGAAAATTAAAACAAAGCATGTTGATTGGTACTACCCTATGGCTAGTAAAGCTAAAGTATTTTCCATGAGTAATGATTCATCCCCCTTTTCCCCCACTCCCTTTGACCTCCTCTCTCTCTCATTGGTTACCTTTTCTTTTTTTTCTTTTTTTTTTTCCTACTCCACCAATCACCCCCTGTCACGTGGCAAAAAGGGGTGAGGGGGTGACCCCAAAAGGGGTACCAAATATTATTCATTTTCCATCTTACCCTAGGGCTAGTAAAGTTAAAGTATTTTCCATCTTTCCCAAATTTCAACCCATGGGTCATTAATCTTTCTGGATGGGGGTAATAGATCACTCAGATGATGTGAAAACTAACACTGAAACAATTTAATTAGTATCAAAATATATAGCAAAGTGGATTGATTGATATTACCTCTACCATCCCTTCTTAGTAATGCTTTCTTTAGAAAGAGATCGCAACTTTCCTCATCATTTAGACACTGGGGTTCATGGTGGAAATGACTTGGATCTATCTGTGAAGCTAGCGCTTTATTTCGAGTCGTTAGCAATATTTTGCTGCCGGTGTTTCCATTCGGAAAGGCTGGTCTCAAGCTTTGCCATGCCTCCACTGACCAAATATCATCTAGTACAACTAAGCATTTTTTCCTCTGCTGGACTTCATACAGCTGCTCAAACAACTCTTCATCTCTCATTCTAACAACATCTTCCTTCCTCTCCGAAACAAGTTTGATAAAAATTCCTTGCAATATCTCTCTTGTTTGGTATTGTTGAGATATGCATATCCATGCCAAACCATCAAAGTGACCCTGGACATCTTTGTGATGATACACCTTTTTAGCCAAAGTGGTCTTTCCCAAACCACCCATGCCGCAAATAGAAACGACTCGACAAGGAGTGTAGTCGTTGATTTGTACCAATTGTTTCACCACTGTGTTCAAGTTTTCCTCAAACCCAACAAAATCCTCTTCAACAACATGTTGATATGATCGCTTCAATTCTTGGTGCTTCTCAACTGCCAAACTTCTTGTGCCTTCACCTATAGCAGTACTGGTTTAATCTTTCTAAATCTTCAATATTCAATGAGTAATGCATTTGCATATAAAGAACTCATGCAAAATCATGTTTTTTATTTTTTTGGTTGTGATTCTTTCATTTTAAGGGAATGTCACAATTTTGGCCGTCAATTACCAAAAATAACAATCTCACATATTTCTGTGTGAATTTTGGCCATGTTTGTGTGGTTCTCTAGGAAGAGAAATTGGACTAATAATATGTGAGATTCACTTAAAGAGTGTTTAGTTGGAGATATGAGTACAGAGATTAACTATTAAGGTGGATTCTCTCCGGTCCAAAATTTTGGACTGAATGGGGTTATTTGTGCTTATGGAGTCCACACGAACCTCGTTTCAATTATTCAAACCGTTCATTTTGTCGGACGCTTTGTGTATTTCATCTATTAAAAAAAATAAAATTAGGTCAATCTAATAACTGTAACTTGTTTAATATATTGTTTTTATTATTAAAAAAAAATGTATGGTTCATTTTTTAAAAACATAATTGTCGTCTATTTTTTTAATGAAAAATACAATAAATTGAACAAGTTTCAATTATTGAATCAGCCTACTTTTTTTTTGTAAATAAAATACACGAAGTACTCAACAAAATAAACGATTCAAATCATTGAAATAGGACTCGTAATACTCCCCACAAGTCCAAACGGTCTCCTTCAGTCCAAATTTTGGACTGGGGAAATCCTCCTCCATTAATATCTCCTTGACTAGTAATACCCATGGGGGTTAGAAATTGAATAAGGGAATTACTGGTTGAAAGACCGTTATACCCCATGTTCTACATCAAATAAAAGGGTATAAGAAGGGTATTATTGGAATTTCATATAATTTCTTTTTCTTTTTTTTTCAAAAGTTGTATTGGTTAGTTTATTAAATAAGATGGATTAAAATATTTTTTTCCAAATAATTTATTTGTGAAAGAAATATTTAATTTTTTTTTATAAATACTAAAAAAAAATAGAGGAATTTTTAAATGATTTTTACTCAAAATTTATATTTTTTTAAGTGTCACTAAATTTAGTGGATTTAAAAAGTACAAAAAATTATAATATTAAAAAAATACTAAAAAGAAAAATATATTAATTTTTTAAATATTATTTATAATATTACTAATCAAATGGCATACAAACAAACACTTTTCCAACCTAATTCCATAATATTAATAATCTCCTTACTCAATCTCACCGTACTCAGCCTCCTCCATCTTATGGAGCCAAACAAACGTGGCCTTGACTCCATCTTATTGTTATTCTTTCCAAATGAGATCACCTCCCTTTATATAGCCATCCAACTCCTCAAATGAATGGGTAGGATCATTTTGATCTAAGGGCTATTATTAAGCCTATAGAATATTCTATTTATATATTTTTATAAATTTATCTAATATAAAATATATATAAAAAAAACTTATAACAATTTTAAAATTAAAATATAAAATATCATTCTTTCCTAAAATTGGTTGTCACAATAAAGATTAGATAGACTATAATCATGTAATCAAGTGAAATTGACATGTTAATAAAATTTAAAATTTAAAATTTAAATTTAAATTATTAATAATTTGGCATCTCAAAAGAGAGAAAAATATGGGAAATTATTCAATGTTGCCAGAGTATTCATATTCACCAATCACCCAACACAATATCTCATTTGAATTGTGTTGCCAGAAAAATATGGGAAATTATTAAAACCTCTTAATTTAAAATCATCATTTGAATTGACTCACCTATACTTTTCAAGCCGTAAGTATGCAAACTCGCGGTGAGATCGGTGATCTTGGTTTTAATGGCATCGATCTCACGTCCGACCCCGTGAACTTGTAACCATTCGTTGAAGATGCAAGCGAATCTTTTAAGGGTGTTTCGAACACCTCTTCTGTTCCTTTTGGATGAAACTTTGATGACAAAAGTATCGAGGATGTCTTCGGTTTCGTAAGCAAGTTGTCTGATTTCCACAACCCAATTGCTGACCCTCGCATCTACATCATCTGATTGTATTGCGTCTTCCAAGAAACATTGCATTCGCTTTAACTCGACTCGAATTTGTTCAACTTGCTCGCTTACTCCGTATAAGAATTTTGCTTCTTCCACCAACAAAACTCCAAGTCTGTTTATAATAAAGGATACAACAGGCTTTTCCATTCTGATCTGAAGTCGGTTCAATTTAACTCAAACCAGTTCCCGACAAATCTGGGTCTAAAGGCTGGGTGGAAAAGAGGAGGGGTTGGGATGTGGTTTGTGGGTGTAGACTCTATGCCGAACTGGCTGAGAAGGATGATAAAATGGTTTGTTGGGTAATTGAGAGAGAGAGAGAGAGAGAGAGAGAGAAGAGATCACTTTTTGGAGTCAAAACGTTTGTTTCGGGCAACAAGCTTTGTGGGATTTTGATCCTCTCTCTGTTTTTTATGCATTTTTTTAAAAATAATGTTTGATTCACTAAATTTTGCTTCGTTTCAGTTATTCTTCGTCGGAATTATTAAACGAATACATGAATAGAATATTCATTCAAATAATTCAGGCGGAACAAAATTTAATGGATATGACAATATTTTTTTTTTATCTTATCAAAACAAATTTGTTTTTTTGACATGAGTAATTCTATAATTTGGTGTACAATTTGATCATTTGTATCTAAAAAGAAAATGACAAATATGATTTGAATTATAAAACTAAATTTAAATATGATTCGATAAAAATGTTATTGATATTTGATCAATTTTGTTTCTACAAAAATATACTACTTATTATACTCTAAAAAATAAATAATTTAAATAATAGAAACAAGTGCCAAAATGAACTCCAATAGCCACATGTGCCTCACCCACAACAACCACACCACATCCAAAAAGGAAAAAGGTTAGAACCCTTTTTTTGAGAACCTCACCGCCTCCAATGCATTGTGATTGATCAACTTTTTACTTTTTTTTTTTTTTTTCTCCTATCTCTGGCTGATATGTGCCTATGGAGGGATTGTGGGAATTAAAAAAAAAAAGAAAAAGAAAAAGGAAAAAAAAAGGTATGTATAATTTCTGATCCAAGAATGTCATAAAGTGAGTGGAGTCCTTTAACACAAAAAAAAAAAAATAATAATAATAAAAAAAAAAATAGAAAGGATAAATTACGTTTTGTCCTCTTTATATTTGATTACCTTTCATTTTCATTTTGATTCTTAATTTTTTTTTTTTAATTTGACCCTTTATATTTTAAGTCTTTTCAATTTAGTCTTAAAGTTAATTTATGTTCAAAATTAGGTAGAAAATATCATAATAACTAGAAACATAACATAAAAAAATATATTATTATATTAGGGTTTAATTTTATGTTAGAAATATAAATTAGGAAAATTTATCTATAAATCTCATGTTAAGGAATAGTGATCCGTTTAGTCCCAATAATTTTCTTATAGACCAATTAGTCACATTGATTTTGGAAAGGTAAATTTAATATATTATTTGAAAATTGGATTTACGATTATATCTTTATTTCTATAATGTTTAATTTTTTTTTTTTTCCTTTTGTGCTAGAAATATAAGATCCACAATATATGGAAATCAAATTTTGGATGAATTTTTATATAAAAACCTTTTTATATTTACAAAATTGACTTGAAATATGCGATTCTTCAAACATTCTAAAAGGATATGGGTTTCTTCAAATATTTCAAAATGAGTACAAAAATTTCTTAGTAAATTTTGGACAAATGTATAATTTCAAACTGTAACATTCTAATGTAATACTCAAATGTAACACTCAAAATGTAACACTTTAAAAAAACGCCTTAGTGTATTTTTCCCAAACGTAACATTCCAATATAATATTCCAAAAAAATTCCTTAAATGTAACACACAAAAAAATTCTTTGGTGTACTTTTTCTAAACGTAACACTCCAAAAAAATGATATGAGATTCTTCAAACCATTCTAAAATGATGTACGATTCTTCAAACCATTCTAAAAATATTATAAAAATTCCTTAGTAAGTTTTGAACAAATATATAATTTCAAACGGTAAGTGTTACGTTTGAGAAAAATACACTAAAGAGTTTTTTAGTATTTTTGTGTGTTAATTGGAGTGTGTTGCGTTGGAATGCTATGTTTGGAATTATATGAATTGGAGTGTTACATTTGCGTACACTAGGAAGTTTTTTTTTTTTTTTTGTGTGTGTGTGTGTTACATTGGAGGGTTACGTTTGAAAAAAGTACACTAAGAAATTTTTTTTATGTGTTACATTGGAGCGTTACATTTGAAAAAAGTACATGAATTTTTTTAGAGTGTTACGTTGTTAGATTTGTGAAAAGTACACTAAATTTTTTTTTAGTGTTTTTATATGTGTTACATTGGACTATTACGTTTAGAATTACATTGGAGTATTACGTTTAGAAAAAGAAAAATGAGTGAGAGCACTAATTAGTGCTACCACCAATGATGTGGCAGTAGGCCCCACCATGAATGATTTGATGTTTTGGCCTTGGTGTTGTATTTTTTTTCTTTTTTTATTGAGTGCTATGTCATTAGTGATCTTTTTAGAGCTCCAAAATTAGTGGTCTCTATCATTGTTGTTTTTTTTTATGTTATGTTATTGGAATGCTACATTAGAGTGTTATGTTTTTGTTTCTAATGTCAGATTTATTCCAGAAGGAGAAAAAATTCAAAATCTTTATAGTATGGATTACCCAAATGTGTAATTTAATATTTTGAAAAATTCATTTTTATCCCTCAAAAATTAATCTCAAACATGTAAATGACTATCCTTTTATGTAATTTTTATTTTAATGAGACCTGGATTCATAAGAAAAAGAGAGAACTAAATAGTTTATAAGATTATATTTTGAAATTTATTAGTATTTCACCGTATAAATTACATATAATACGATATTTTTATGCCAAGTAATTATTAATGTGTCATTTTATCTAATTTTTTATCCAAAATAAAAAAGTGACCACACAAAAAGAAAAACTGTAATTTATCCAAAAAGAAAAATGAGTGCAGTGCACGTGGAATGAAGGCGGCCCCAATGCGGCATAACGGATATAGTAATAGATTGATTTTAGAATAATTTTTTATATAATTAATTTTTTTTAAATGATTATTAATATTATTTAATGTGTATAAGCCCATAAAGGCCATGGACCACCCATGGCCCATCACTTGAAGTACAGTGCATAACCCAGCTGACGAGGTTCAGGACAGCTGGAGTCCAACATGACACAAAGAGCCAATGACATTCAGACACACGGCAAGGGAATGATGAACCACATCAGCAGACAAAGATCTGCAAAGTTATTGACATTGCACATTACTATTAATGCAGCCCATCACAGCATTTATTATGACAACACCTCTCCGTCGGAACAGGACCCCCTTACCCTGAGCAAGGCGAGCTACAGCATAGGCTTTCGGCAAGGAGTGCAGGTCGGAAGGGACAGCAAAATGATTGCCAAAGGATATAAGCGAACGTTGTAGACAAGGAAAAAGGTTAAGTTCTCTATCTCAAATCCTCTCCCATATACTCTGCTTCTCTTCCTAACTTGTTCGTCGGAGAGTTCGCTGGGGGACTATCCCGTTCCCCGTTGAACTTGTTTGCAGGATATCCGGTGGGCTCGATCTTCTGGGCTTGGCCTTGGGGAGCTTGGACCAGTCCAATCCATCCACAAGGACGAACGGTATCAACAGTTGGCGTCGTCTGTGGGAACGTTTTGCTCCGCATGCCGGTTGTGATCATTGTCGCCGAAGGCCCCGTTCCAACAACCTCTCTCTCCTACCCGTCAAAGTGCATGGTCACGACTAGATCCATGGCTTCTCACAATAATGATACCGACCATCAAAACGACCCCCCCAATCCAAACAACCCACCACAGTACTTCATCGAGCTTACCAACAGCATCAACCGCATGGCCGAACAAAACCAGGCCTTGATAAATGCCTTACTCCAAAGGAACCTTCCGATTCCTTCTCCACCGCCTCCAGATATTCCCTCCAACCGAGAAAGAACCCCGAGCCATACTGCCCCCCAACCCCATCCACCCAACCTGGAAGGTTTGCAACCTCCCCACCCACACATAAATCCACCATCGCCACCCCCATACTCGTCGGTCGTAGCACCAGCCCCTGAAGGGGAGGCCAGCAGCATCCAACCTCTACTGACTGACCAGAGAGACCACGTTCCACTCTGGGACGCCGAGCTCCGAGCAATGAAGCTCCAACTCCAAGGAGTCATCCAGAACATTCAGAATAAACCCTCTACCACGGCAAATTCACCATTTGTTGCCTCTATTCGGGACAAACCTTTGCCCGCCAAATTCAAGATACCCACCATTGACTCCTTTGATGGTACGACAGATCTAGTTGACCATCTGGAGACCTATCGTACACTCATGATCCTTCATGCCTTCCCCGACGAGATCATGTGTCGGGCTTTCCCCGTGACACTGAAGGGGTCAGCCCAACTGTGGTTCAGTCAGTTACCGGCGGACTCTGTCTCCACTTTCCAGCATCTCATCGACTCCTTCCTCAGCCATTTCATTGGAGCCCAACGCCAACGCCGTCCTGCAACCCAACTCCTCAACATCCGTCAGACCGAGGGGGAGTCACTACGTAGCTTCGTTACCCGCTTCAACACCGAAGCCCTACAAGTAGCGGAGAATGGCGATAAGGTCATCCTTACGGCTTTCATGGCTAGGCTGCGATCGTCTGATTTCCTCTTCTCCCTCTCCAAAAACCCTCCGACCTCTATGGCAGCCCTATTATCCAAAGCTCAGAAATATATGAATGCCGAAGATTCACTGGCCGCTCGCCAAGATCCAACATCCAAAAACCCGCCCCCCAGAGAAAAAAGAAAAGACTCAGAACCAAGAAACACCCAGCATAACAGCCAAATGCCCCAATATCCCGACCGACCTCCTCGCACTGACCGGTGGCACCAGCACGACCCCCCGGTCAGTTTGAGCGGTACACACCCCTCAATTCTCCTATGGAACAAGTTCTCCACCAAATCCAACGGGATTACCCCCTCAAATGGCCCTTGCCTTCACGGACCCTTTCTAACCGGAAAGACCAATCCAAATACTGTCGCTTCCACCAGGACCACGGCCACTGTCACGCCCCAAACCTGCCCCTAGAAGTTTGGTCATGACCATTTCTGAAACGAACACTTAACCTGTTATATATAATATATGGGGCCTGAACGGAAGCATTAAATATCAAAATTTGACAATATAAACAAACTCCATTGAGCTACTACTATCATGCCAGGATCTCAAACTTTGAACAGACAAATAAAATCTAAAACATACACCTGAATGTCGGATATATATATACATATATATATAAGCCCAGCTCTATAACTGGGCATACATCAA